AAATATAAATATAAATATAAATATAAATATAAATATAAATATAAATATAAATATAAATATAAATAAATATAAATATAAATATAAATATAAATATAAATATAAATAGAAACATCCTGATGCAACTAGAGTTTCGACCCACACAAGGCGATTTCTAATACAATTTCGATCAAACAAAAACATTTCTGGCGAGTCGAGTTTAGCACTCCATTTTATATAGACTTGCTTGCAGCATTCCGTTAAAGCAACTGCCACAGTGGCTACGTGCCACAAACATGAACGACAATGCGACAAAAGGAAGTTCATGCCGCTTTGTTGTCGCTCCAAGACACAAGACAGAGACACAGAAGACAGTTGCCCCATCAAACACCGTCCCACAAATGGCTGCACAAGACGGGCTCATACCCAAGGCCTTTAAAAAATATACAAAAACCAAAAACTGAGCTGCGGATGAGCAGAGAGAATTTGAAGTGCAGCGCACATACAAAACAGATAAATGGTAGCAACTTTTTAACAAAACCCACGGACGGGGCCCAGTGCATTCAGTAGACAGCAACCCCCAGAACCCAACCCCCGAACAATTGCTTGCCCAAACCCCATGCTAAATTCTTCTATATTTCCTTTTCTTATTTTTTCATTGCCCCTAAGCAGCAGGCATTGGGACGAGACAAAATGTAAAATTATGCGGCAGTTGGAAGCAAAAGTTTATGGTTGACCCGAGCGCATAAAGAGATGGAGGAGACAGCAGACAGAGAGAAGGAAAGAGAGAGAGACAGAGAGAGGAAGAGTGGCCAAGTGCATTTATTGTCTTTGGGTAAGGCAGTCGAGCAGGCAAATATGCTGCAAGCCTGACTGATGCTGCTGATGCCCCCAAGGAGTCGTACATACACGCACACATTGCGACAGCAAACAGGAAGTACGCATTTCCTGCACTCGAAAACAGGCACAGAGAGCGAGCTGGAGTGTGAGAGAGGGCAGAGATTTCTCTGAAGCACAGAGACTGCTGCTCAGTGCGAATGTCGCGACAACGTCGACAAACAACTTTTGACGCAAAAGTGCTGAAAACTGTTTTTCTTCTGGTCTACAGTTTTGCCCACGTTGCCAAATTAATTGAAAATGACTAGACCTGAGGGAACGAGACCGAAGGACAGAGATAGAGATAGTGAGAGAAGAGCTGGGTAGAGCCTCTGCTATGCCAGACAATTTGGAGAAGTATGTGTGCCTTGATCTTGACGCTTGTCCCTGAACTTGGCGCCCACTCTATTAGTGTGCGTGTGTGTGTTTGCTGGGCAGCGGCACAAATGAGTTTCGTGTCACAAGTTGACCCAACTGAGATTAAGTGGGCGTTTAATTTGCCAACTCTCGCTGGGGTCGCCGCCCTTAGCTCACAGAAATTGCGTTAATGTAATCCCCGCATGGCATATGCTCCCGTTGTTTTTTCCGCTGTCTCCCCAGTTTAGTTGTTTTTTGTTTTCCTTTTCGATTTTTTTTTTTTTTTTTTGGTTTGGATTGTCGCTTGGCTGGCGCCGTCGCTGGCTTTTTTCGTATTTTGGGTGGACTTGCCCCGTGCTGTGCTTTGTCCTTGAGCAGCAGCAAGCCCCCGACTTACTGGCTGGCTGGACTGCCCGCCGGCTGATCTCTGCGCGGTATTTTAACTTAATCAACAGAGTAAATAACACGTCCACTCCTATATATGTATATGTATATCTCTTTTTTTGGCTTAGCTACGTTTTATGAAGTCGTAGCATCTTGTGGGTTATTAGTTATGACACTAGCTTAATGTTAATCACTGACCATTTTTGTGGGTATGGCAGTATTTAGTTATAGATGTGAAAAAATGATATGTGAATCGAATAAAGGTCGATTTGTCTACAATAGTATAGGAAATATAGACTAGTAATTGCAAGGA